TCAAAAGTTCATACCTACATAAATCGAGTTGCTCGTTTACGGGTATATGTTTTGGGTTTTCAATTGATTTATTAATTTCCATGGCTTCCAACAAATTCATTTTCTTCCCTTTATTACATTGAACTGAAATCTCCCGAAATTATTATTGCTCTTGATAACATGAAAGCTGTTGTTATTTTGTATTCAGAGAATTAATTTCGGATATTTTCTGAAAGTTTACCCGAGTAATTGATGCTATTATTTAGTTAGTTTGATATTTGACTAGTTGTTTCCCGCGGCTTTGTCGGCGTAGAATTTGATTTGTTACATTGAGTTTCGTGACAGAGCAGTTTAAACAAATAGTTACAAAATTTTTTTATCCCCAAATACATAAGGTTTCCAACTTCAAAACTGTCGGAATTCAATACAATTTTCAAACTCCTATTTTTCCCCTTGGGGGTGGAAACTTTTGATTCCTTTTTTGATACTGAGGATACACTACAAAAACACACTTTTGTCTATTTTCCACTATATTTCTTTATTGTTGACCGGTTTCGGCTATTACACCATTTTCAAAACTAACTGATTACATTTAAATCTGAGTAATTTATACCTATGTTGCTTATTCTATCATAAATGATTTGATATACCTGATATACCTGATACCCGGTACCTGCGTTTCATCTACCCAACATTACAGAGACACAAGTTAACAACTATGATAAAGAAAGCAGAACATCCACCCACAAATAATAAAGTCATGAAGACAGTGAAAACCATATCCAAGAAGGCAAAAGAAGGAGAACTAATTTTCACCAGAGCAGACAAAGGTAACAGCATAGTATGTCTGACTAAACAACAATACGATTCAAAAATACAAGATATTATAGAACAATTGGACACCACAGAGTTGAAAAAAGACCCCACAAAACCCTTCACACTCCATCTGAAGAAAAATCTTGAACATTCTACGTTCCTTTTTCCCACAGCATGGGACAAGAAGAAGACTACCTGCATGAACCCCCGTCCACCTGAGATGTATGGACTAATTAAACTACACAAAGAAAGTAACCCAGCCAGACCGGTAATTTCATATACCAATACCCCTAACTATAAGCTGTCAAAATTCTTAAATTGCAAATTCAGGGAGATCACTAATTTCAAACCTTCTCACACGATACTAAATTCTATAGACTTGACAAACAAACTCAACAACATAAAAATTAACAACAACATTAAATTAGTATCGTTTGACATCAAGAACATGTTTCCAAATATTCCAACAGACGAATGCCTTCCCCTGATTAAAAACATATTAGATAGACATAATACTAACCCATATGTCAACAGTGAACTCTGTGAACTGTTCAACACGTGTTTAAAACAAAACTATTTTAAATTTAATAATACATTTTATATACAGAACTCAGGCCTACCAATGGGATCACCGATAAGTCCGTTACTAGCTGATATATTCCTAAACAATTTAGAGACTAATCTAATTTTGAATAACTGTCTTTCCCATAAACATATTGTGTTCTGGTTTAGATATGTAGATGACATATTAGTAGGCTTCGATGGTTCAACTAGACAAATATCTCATTATTTGAAATTCCTCAATAGTCTACACGATAAGATCAAATTCACCGTAGAGATAGAAGAGAACAATGAGATAATTTTTTAGATCTGACAATATCCAAAAACAATGATAAACTCGACTTTAACATTTTCCGAAAAAACACATTCACAGATTGCACAATACCTTTTGACTCTTTCAACCCGAATTTACAGAAATTGTCTGCATTCAGGTCAATGATACATAGGGCTTTCACTTTACCACTTTCTGATCAAAACCTCCGAAGTGAAATCGCAATCATTAAACAAATAGCAGTTAATAACAAAATACCTACCACACTAGTTAACAACATAATAATAAAATATCAATAAAAATCAATAATGAAAGAACTATATTCAATTTCCACAAGATCAGAACACATATATGTTAGTATCAATTATGCTGGTAGAATCTCCGAGAATATTAAAAATTATCTCTCAAAATTCAATTCACAAACATCCTACGCATCCAACGGAAATTTAGGAAACATATTATTTAATGCCAAACCTAAATTAGAGAAAGGGAAGAGATCTGGTATATATCGAATGGAATGTGGTGAATGCCCCGCCATATATACAGGCCAAACTGGGAGAAATTTTGATACAAGGTACTACGAACATGTCATTCCGGATAAAAAATCATTAATTTAAAGATCCTACACACATGCGAAAAACGGAAAATGATGAATCCCAAGAAAAATCCCAATTCTATTGTCCTCAACGAACAACTTGATTTAAATGATAGTCCTATAATCCAGATCCCAAAACCTTCATTATATTGAAAGCTTTGTTATATTCATGGATTTTACAGGTAGATGAAACGCAGGTACCGGGTATCAGGTATATCAGGTATATCAAATCATTTATGATAGAATAAGCAACATAGGTATAAATTACTCAGATTTAAATGTAATCAGTTAGTTTTGAAAATGGTGTAATAGCCGAAACCGGTCAATAATAAAGAAATATAGTGGAAAATAGACAAAAGTGTGTTTTTGTAGTGTATCCTCAGTGAACATGAATTTCTACAAATTAAACAAGTCGTCAATCGAAGAAACCTTTCTTGTTACTTATTTATGCTGTACAAAGAACCTACTTGCATATTTCAAGATTCTAGGTTCAGTAGCTTCAGCTGAACGTTAATACAATAGTGTCAGTTAATCAATAGGTACCCTCTTATACAATATTGAATAGCATCAGCAAAAAAAAAACTGAAAGGATTAGAATGAAATCCATTGGTAATCCTACTCCTACTAATATTATAAATGCGTAAAGTTTGTGAGGATGGATGAAGATGATGTATGAATTTACGTTTTTTACTTTTTCACGCCTGAACAGCTCAACGGATTCAAATGTGAGTTAGTATATAGATATAGATAGATCATGACCGGAAATAACACATAGGGTAGGTTCCCACCGTAACGCGGGTAAAATAGCGGAAAACAGCTACTCTAATATATAAAAATGGATGTTTGGTTGGTTGGTAAAAACTTCTACATCGCTCAACCGATCGTGATGAAACTTGACATGTATAAGTAATTTTTCATAGAGAAGGTTTTTAGGCTATCAATTTTTCTGTAACTCACCACTAGATGGAGCTGTAGAACAATTTTTGAAAGCACTGTTCTATAACGCTGCGCACACCTAAGTTCGTTGATTCTTATTCTGTCAAAACATTGGAACAGCAGCGATACAGCAACATAGTACTAATTAGTACTACAACTACCGAATTCTACGCGGGCGATGTCGCGGGCTACAACTAGTATTTTATAAGTGGGTACCTATCAATTGACTGACACACTTATAATAACGTACAGCCAAAGCTAGTGAACCTAGAATCTTGAAATATGCAGTTAGGGTTTTTGTATAGAATAAATAAGCATGAAGACAGGAAATCAGGAATTTCCACCCACGAAGGGGAAAAGTTTGGGTTCAAAGATTGTATTGATTTTCGTCAGTTTTGAAGTTAAAAACCTGAAGTTTTGGGTCGATAAAAAAGTATTGTATCCATTTGTTCAAATGGTCTGTCACGTAAATCAACGTGACAATCCAAATTCTAGTAATTTATATTTTTACTTCAAAAATACAGTAATAGAAAATATGCCAACTGCACTAAGTATGAATAGCTTCGAAAATCGAATTATGTTACCTATAGAGAAATTTCGCAAAACGGACACAACCGTCAACGACGACTGCCCTCACGAGTGTGCCCGCGTTCGGGCGATGGCGCTTCATTGATCAGACCGCCCCTCTACCCTCGCGCATCGTCCTCCATCGTCTTACAGTATACGCAACGCGTAATTGCTTACTGCGTTGTGTCGAGTTAATCTTATCGAGATGAATTTTGAAAGATTCGTCCAATTTACTTACTTTCTTTTTAATGTGTCTGTGATGAATGTGTTTTCATTTGGTTAGTCCTCATTTTCGTTTGTACCTATATTGTCTGACACATATTTTTTAAACGTTTTTTTGACATGGATAACTAATGTTTGAGCCCTGATGATGGATTTAATAAAGTCCGAAACGTTGGCAGAAAACTAACTTGTTCATCTACGAACATTTTTGATTCCTTTCCCAACCAATAGAAAGAAACCGCATTTGGAAATATTTTGGATCACCAAACCAGGCAAAGAAAAAGACGAAGTTTGTCTATATTAAATACTTTGACAGAATTTACCAGATATTCTAAAATGTGCATTGTGAAAAAAGTATCCAATTCGATTGTACTTATGACTCAGTATTTTGCATATAGTGACTACCACATAAGAGGTAGATATTTGCTATCGTGGACTTTTATTTAGAACTATTCAAGATGAACAATTTTACGGTATATTATCCCACACAGCACCAGATATTCATGGAATATTCCCTGTATATCATAAAACGAACGTATATATTCCAAATATTCATAGAATATTCTTGGAATATATACATGCCTTTAAAATATTCATAGAATATGCTTGAATGAATATGGTAGGATTATTCCCGAAAGAATGTGCATAGAATGTCTATAAATGGATTATTCTCCCTTGAATATTCTAAGAATATTGTCGATTAAATATACCATATGGTATATTCTTAGAATATATCCCCACGGTATATTTTGGAATATTCTATACAATGGAATTTTGAATTATCTTATAATAACGTATTCAAATAATTCAATATTATTAAAAACAAAAATATTTGAAGATCTTAATCGAATGCATAACCTAATGTATATAACCCTGATAGTGTTAACCAGTTTTTGAACTCAACGCGAAGATTCTGGATGAATTGCTCCAACAGCAACTGTTGGAAACGACAAAAAAAATTGAATGGGCCAATAAATGAACCAATTGCATCAATAAATTGGTTAATTCTCATCCTATTTGTCTTTTTGTACTTGAAATTCAATTCAAAGCGAAAAATCCTGGAAACAGAGAAATGGGGAAGTGAAGAATTGGAGTAAACGTTTCTCATTGGTCAATTGAAGTGTAGCGCGCGACAGTCGAATAAGCTCTGTGAAAGCGGCTGTCCCTTAATGCTTGGTACCTTTGCTTTAAATTCGACATTTGATTCAACATGGCGGTTGACGTGGCAGGTTCGCGTGTGTAATGCATGGTGTGTTGGTGTTATTATCAAAGTATAATTCTGTCACGTTCAGTGTACCATTTATAATTTGGGGTTGTCCAATTTGCAGTACAGCGAATAGTTTGATTTTGGATCTTCAAACAGGAGAGTTGCATATATTCAGTCTTCAAGAAAAGTTAGTAAAATGCAATAGTATCGATAGTAAAGTCATGGTGATTAACCTACTATACCTCATTTTAGGTTCGAGGAGAGTTGGTGTGTGGGATTTGTTGGTTTGACTAAGTACATGTTTGAACTAGAGTGATTTCAGTTGTGTATCTTCAATAGAGAAAAGTAAGTGAATGACACATTCTTTTTTATCATTTGTTTTCATAAATTTTATCACTCGTTTTCAAGATAGTATCAATTTGCCCAAAAGGAAACAGAGTGGTACCTGGTACAGGCAGGTGCGCCAAGAAACTGAAAACGTAATGAGTACTTTTCAACAAGACAATGCAAGTTTCTCTCCAAGTCATAAAATGTTGTAAATGTTCATGAGTAACCTATGCGAAAAATATCTATTTGATTTTCATTCCAGTTTTATTGTGCCACTTTCAAATAGTGATAATGCACGTTAATGTACATTTTGTTCCAGGTATTACTATTGAAACACTGGCTGATGCATTGTTGGACAAATATAAGGAAAACTAGTCTGGTGAGCAAAGTTTGGATAACTTCAAATAAGTGAAATTCATTGAAGAACCCATCATACCACTCATTTTAAATACTTCATTTGTGGGTTTATTTTTTTAAGTGAGAAACCTAACCTAACCTATTTCTTGATGTAATCCATTTTTTTTTCAATGAAATGATATATTTATTATTTTTTAATTAGTGCTGATGAATTCACAGAGTTGTTATTTTAGTATATTTTTTAGTATACATTTGTTTGAGAGTTGGAACATCCTAATTTGAATACATTTCTAATATTTGTAATATGACAGTATTCAGAAATATTTTATTCAGTGAATGAATATTTTGAATTAGATTTTTCATTTTTAATATTGGTTGAAACGTCAAATATTTCAGTGTATATTGTTTTTAAAATATATTCGTTTATGAATATTATGTGTTTTATTACTTGTGTGAATCTTGCATCAAAATGCAATATATACATGCCTAATAGCGTTTACTCGTCACATTCTTGGAATATTCCAAATATTCCTAGAATATTCATAAAATGTATTTAAAGAATATTCTATGGTGTTTCCCTATTGTATATTCCTACAATAAACTAAGAATATCCTGAATATTTTACGAATATTCCTCGGGTTCTATTCCTGAAATATTCTTAATAAAATATACCTTACATATTCTAAGAATATTATAGGATATTCCAAGAATATTCCCAAGGAATATTCTTAAAATATATCAAAGGTTCGCCAGGAGCACTTCCAGCACTTCATAGCATAATACAATATCCTTAAATGTATATTCATGAAATATACCTGGAATATCTATTGCTATATGGGATGTTCATGTAATTCCAATGGTATACGCAGCTCACACCAAGATAGCTCTCAGGCAGCAAGAATTTTTTCGAGTAACTCAATACTTTATGCTCATCGTTATATTATGACCAAAATTACAAAATTGTGAATTGTAGCCTACATGTTATTCTGATGTATAAGCTGAATTTACGTGAAGTTTAATTTAAATCTGTTCAGTTGTTTAGGTGTGAAAGAGAAACAAACATACATTCGTACATTCATCCATTCTCACAAACTATGTTTTTATTCATTTCATTAAAGTGATCATGAATTTTCACAAAATGAACGAGTCATCAATTACACAGAATATATTTTGCTCTAATTGGTATTTTCTGTCGTTAGTTGAGAAACCTTTATTGTTGTATCAATTTGTGAGCGTTTCATTTCTAGTGAGCAATGAATAAAAAGAAAAGACGTGGTAGATTTCTTTGCTTCTACAATAACTGTGGAAGTATCTACACATGAGAGAACAATGATCAACACAGTTTGTGAAATAACAGAGGTACCGAGTTTTTATCCCTGAAAGAAAATGGTAATCTCCTATATGTAGACACCCAAAATCTTCTAATAATGCGTCCTATGAAATCAATTTTTAATTCATGAATCATTATTATTATGGATTATTCAGTTCAATGAACAAATACATCCAAATTCTAGCAGAACTTATGTTAAAAAATGAACATGAATAAGGTCAAATATTAAACTTTGCCAACAAAATTATTTTTCATATCAGTATGATTTTCTGTAAATTTTCATGCCATATCCTGCTTTGAACGCAATTACAAAGTGAGTTTATTCATTTCAGATGCAAAAATTCAATACTAGCATTTGGTTGAGAACTTCTGGAAGATACCCCTATTTGTGGTTTTAACAAAAAATGTAATTTTGTATTCCGGAATTGATGACCATATTTCTGATTTTGTACTTCCATTCCAAATTATTAATTGTAATTTTTTCTGAAAAGAAATACATGGTGTAACTGAATAAGTGTAAAACATTCAAGGAGGTGATTCCTTATCTAAAAAAAGATAGGATCTTTCATATAAAGAAACTCCATTGGAGCATCCCTTGTTAAGATACAGCACCTTAAAGGGGGTACCTACATAAAATTTGTATAACAATTTTTTTCACAAACACTGAAAAAGTTACAATATTGAAATCAACCTGACGTTTTGTACTACACTTATTCAGTAATTTATTTGGTTTATCCCATGGTTGTAAGTGGTGGAAAACGCAACCCATAAAATTTATTTCCAATGTAACTTTTTGTCTTATTATTTGTTCACCATTTAAAAAGTCATTTCCGAAAGCCTGTTTCAATCTGAACGAAAAATATCTCCTGGGTTTTTTGCCCAAAATGAACCAGTTCGCAGCAAAAAATTATTTTACGAACAACTACAGAGATAAAGGCAATCTGCAACTCCACAGGAGAGGGGCGAAGATCCTCATTTGTATATATTCTATCCATATGTGATAAAGATGAATAGAAAAAGACAAAATTGAAAGACACTCCATAAAAGAGCTTTCATAACAATTAACGTCATCAGTTGATATTTTAATGATGGTTTTTGAAGTGTTTTTTATATGAATATTTGGCCTGAAAAAGGACATGAACAATATCGAGAGATCGGTAGAGTAGAGTTGACTGATGTTATGAAACCCATTTTGCTTCTATTAGATGGATTCATCTGTCCGGAAAATAATGGATTTCGAATTCCATAAAGTGGGATGTTTTTCTAAATACTTCGATTCCATTCAATTATTCTCCATATTTGGTTTCCACGGATGAAAACATTCAATTTGTCCCTTGAAAATTGACATGAAGGAAAATGAAAGATTTTTTTGTCTTCTCTGGATTGGAATGGAAAAAGGAATTAGAAAAGGTCCAAGTATGTTCGGCCCATTACAAATTCGTGTATATCACGGTCATTGGAGTAACACACCACAACCCTATATAGACACTACTGTTGAAATTTGATATCATCTGAAACTCATTCTGATTGAAATCTGCCATCACTCACTCTGTGTCATAAATTGATAATTAGATTCAGAAAATAATAGATTGTATATTTTCGTCAACCTCAGAACAAATGAGAATGTTCAAATTAGAACGGTTACCAATTTTATTGTTTGGTGACACATACTTTGTGTTGATTGCAAGGATACCCGATAAATCTACAGTTCTTTTCCGAAAATGAATCCGATTAAAGTGGTGATACTTACTTTTGTATTTTCAATAATTCGAACTTTACAAAAATAATGAAAGTACTGGCAGGACTTTACACCAGACTGTCATTATTTTCCCATTATGTCTTTTCTTGATATATGCTTTTCGCTCCAAATAATTTTTTATCTCATGTGGCTTTCTATTTTTCCATCTTCATACAAAAAATGTGGGAAACTACCTGGGGAAGATAGGAGTTCTTTCTTCCATCAGAAGTTTCCAACATTTTTTGCATGAAGCCACGGGAAAACGGGAAAAAGTAGATGTGATACTCAAATAATCGAAAGTATACTTTCTCGCTCTTTTGTCAACACAAAAAATGTCAGTTGCTCCGCCACTGCCCAACATTTCCAACAGAGTTCCCTACTTCCACTCTGAGAGCGGAATCTTTGCACCGAAAATATTAGATTAGTCAGATATGGCACCCTTAATTAGTTTAGCAGACCACGACTGAATGGAGCCTTGTCAGTTTAATTTGAGCCACTCAGGACAGGCTGGGAACGTGGTTAGCTTTTCAGATTCTGTCTTGAACTTTGACTCGGTTAGTTCGTAACTACACTGGGAAAAAGATAGGATTGATTCCGCTATATTCGATATATTTTACTATTCGAAAGTGGCTTTGACGAATGGAAAAATTGAAGATTCATTTACGTTATATTTAAAAAACGGTGGCTTTAAGGAAAAAAAGTACTGATATATTTTTTGTAGATAATTTTATGATCTACAATTTTTTTCCGGAGAATTTTCATGATGAAACTTACCGTTTTGCTGAAAATTGCGAAAAACTTATTTTTTTGACCGTTGACCGTGAATAAATTTTTTTTCAGACCGGGAAAAGATGGGAAACTTTCAAACTTTATTTCAATCATATTTTCATCTTGGTGTGAATCTATTTTTTTTTAACTATTATTTATCTTCCACTTTTCAGTTCGGCTTGCTATTTCAAGACCATTTGTTTTAATTTTTCAAGCTATAGCGTATATTGTTTTCATCTGTCAGTCTCAATACGAAATCATACATTGTGTAGCAATGGAGAGACACAATTTTTAGTACAGCTGCCTGACTGAGTCATGGCCGATGAGAAACCCCTTCCTCAATACAATGAGTATGTATGCACGATTTCTCCCACCGGCCATGACTCAGTCCGCAAGACGTACATCACGTGACAATCTGCTCAAAGTTATTTTGATGTGTGTCATATTAAGGTGAAATCGCGAATGGCTCATCAAATCAGTTATGGTTGCTTAGATCGTACCCACGTTTACTTGTATGATTGTGTTAATTCTGGAGTATTGAGAGGTGATTCCGATGTCTGCTTTATCAAATGTCGATGGTAGATTTTATGTCTATGATGGTTGAACAGGGTAACGGGGATGGGTTCGATTCCGGAGTTGGTAGCCGTGGGCTACCAAATCCAAGAAAGGCACCAATTTGGGAGATTGCTGAAAAAAAACGAATATTTGTTTCCACTCATAGACGGGAGTGGACGGAATTTGAACCCACACCTGGTGAGGCCGTTGCTTCGTGTAGATTACGATTTGCGTATTAACCCACTCGGCCAATGGACCAACTGATAGCGACGAAATGTATTAACACTAATAAGCCAGGTGCCCGAGCCAGAAAGTGAGTAGACGTACGTATGTGCAGACAGTGTGGTTGTTTCACTTGCTGTCACACAGAGACTGTGTGAGAAAATTATTTAATCCTGGCTATCCTGATCTGGATAATGAGATAAACCTATGAAATCAAAGTTAACGATTCTTGATAAGTGTACAAGGTATGAAATAAATCATTCCGTTCAAAGTTAGTCAAAATCGAGTCGGTTACAAACAGAAATACAAGTGGAGCTTATAAAAGCGTGTTGAAAATGCGATATGATGCCCTTGGCATCAGTTTAAAATCTGATAAATGAAACAAAGATCTGAAAAATTAACAATTTTGTTTGATCATTTTTCTATAACTTGTATAGAAAAATGATAAATCAATAAGGAAACTCTAGAAATATGCGAAAAAAATGGAAGTTACTGAATTTTACGTATTGTATTAAAAAATGACTAGGACTAATCTCAGAAAAACTTCCCCTAATCAGGGGAACTTAACGCTATAAAAAAGCACTGTAGTACATAGAAGAGAACAAATTTTCTAAATCCCTAATTATGTGAGACTCGATTAAGTGAAGTAATTAGTCAATTATAC